TAGGTTCAATGGTTGGTAAGAAATGAGTAAAGTATAGAATTTGTAAGAAACGAGTAAGTTGTAGCTTTTGTAAAGAACGAATAAGTTGTGGCTTTGGTAAGAAACGAGTAAGCTGTAGCTTTGGTAAAGAACGAAAAAGTTGTGCCGTTGGTAAGAACCGAATAAGCTGTAGCTTTGGTAAAAAAAGAATAAGTTGTGGCGTTGGTAAGAAACGAGTAAGTTGTAGTGTTTATAAGAAACAAAAAAGCTGTAGTTTTGGGAAGGAACAAGTACGCTGTTGCATTAGTAAGAAACAAGTAAGCTAAAACGTTGATAAAATAAGAAACTAGTAAGTCGATGCCTTGGTAAGAAACAAGAGGCTGTAGCATTGGTAAGAAAACTGTATTTCTGCAGTTTAGGTTATTTTTTAAGGGGATTCGACCACTCATCAACAGTTGAAATTAATACGTGAATATTTCTGTAGCTGTAAATATTGTTACGTCTCTGGTCGTTTTTTTTTTTTTGTAGGAATTCCTTCCGAGAAACTTCAACGATACAAGTCTTTTCTTAAATAAAACTAGTTTATTCTTTCTAAATTCAACTTTGCAATACACTTAATTTTCACAGTCACTTTAACTTAAACACACGCTATAATTCACAACGAACGATTCACGCGCTTTATTTACTACCGCGCTTGACTCAATTGTCCGTCTCTATCTCTGCCTGTCTGCAATTATCTATGTCTATCAGTCTATGCCGTCACTTCTCGCCGGTCTTATATATACAGAATAGAGGGTGTCTCGAGCCTTCAGGAACCTTCTAGATACTCATTACGTGTTACCAGAGTGACTTCCGCTTTCGTAACAATATGTTAAGTTTGGAATGCTTTCCTTACTTGAGATCAGTAATCCTTAGAATTGAGATAAGTGATCTTCAGACCTGAGGTCAATAATTCTTAGAAGTTTTGAAAAGCCACTATCTGACTGTTAATTTCTAGCCTTAAATAAAGTCTTGTAGTGTTAATTGAGGTAACTTTAATGTTATCAACATATTTGTTTTTTCATTAAATGATCATTAATTTATATAATTATAATAGTAGGTAAATATATGATACCGCGTTAAGTGCTCTAAAAGTAAATTAATAGCCATTATTGCGGAAGAAAGAAAGTAAAAGTTTCAAGACTTGATGTTCCTTAATAGGGCCTTATTTTCAATAAATGAATATCCGTTTCATCTAATTTTTGTTTCTTAATTATTCTTTTAATGATGACAAAACTTCGCTTTATAATAGATGCTTTTTTCAATAGGATAAATTTAGTTTCATGTTACTGTAGTAATTATTTTTTTATACCAACCATTAATGCTAACTAATCTTTGTCTCAAGGGATGGTTATTTTCTAATCTCGAATTTCATCTTTTATCAAGTTCCTTCCTATTCTCGTTATAATTTACCCCAGCTTATTATAATGGAGCTTGCGATGTATACGTCCAAAACTCGGATCTCGGAAACTACCGCACCGATCATCACCAATCATAATTGAGTAATATTTTTATAACTAGGTAGTATTTTTATGGTTGAGCAATAAATAAAACAATTGAAATTTCCACAAAAGTGATATGTTTCAGATTTAACCAATAAGAATTACAAAAAGGAGTAAGTTTCGAATATAAAACAATCAAATGGAAATCTCATGAGTGTTGCAACAGAAAAGCAAGATACTTTCATTGATTACTGCGTCTACAAAGAAATACTTCAATAAAATCTACTCTGTGATGTAATGCTGTGACAATAGCTCATTTATAAAACAAAATTTCAATAAAATCCTTTTTCTCATGGATGGTGAACATTACTGAATGTCAAGTATGAGTACATTGTTGTAGAACTGTCAGAAAATTCCAGAAAAGGCCGCAGGCCTAATAGCCTTCCGCAGGAATTAGTAGTCATACCTGGGAGGGCGGGTATTTCTGTTAGTATAAACAACAGCTTATGAGATTAAGTTAGAACTGCATATTTTCATAGCTTTTAGTTACAATTTTCAAGGTTTTTGTCTTGTTTCTACCTTGTTTCCTTACTTTTTGTTGCTCACATTCATACTTCCTTACTTTAAAAATATTTTATACTTATCTCATTGCTTTTTTGTACTAAGTCTCGAGAGTGACTGGGCTCTAGGCCTATCCTTCTCGTAGCTTTTCTTGGTGCTAAGTCTCGAGAGTGACTGGGCTCTAGGCCTATCCTTCTCGTAGCTTTTCTTGGTGCTAAGTCTCCAGAGTGACTGGGCTATAGGCTTATCCTTCTCGTAGCTTTTCTTAGAGCTATCTCTCGACTTTTGGTGATATATTTGCTAGAGTTTTCTTGTATCTAGCCAAGGTCGTAGCTTTTTCTTTGGCTGGATTAATGGCTAAGGCTTGTTTCGCATATTCAGTATTACTGTTTCTAACCTTATCTCTATTCTTGCAGTAATGCTCTCTTCAATGGGACAAAGACTTTTTAAGGTTATCAACATAAGATTTTCTCATTTTTTCTCGTTTTGTTTTCTTGAAAGGCATATTTTAAAAATCGCACCATTTCAAGTACAACTTTGGATGTCCATAGGCCACACTTAGTTTGAAAACAATGCAAAGGTAAATTATACAGCTTATCATTCTTGTTTTCAATCTATAGCACTTGAGCAAAGCCGTGTCAAACTTTGGCAACGGTAGCGTTCATCTTCACCTGGGAGACTCATGTCTTAGACACCAATTGTTACGATAGTATTGCTTTGTTCCAAAAAAAAAAAAATCTAGAGTCAGTTAAATAGAACTGTAAAGTTCACTTTCAAAGGTTAGATCATAATTAGAACCCATATCTGGGGAATCTACATAGTCCACGTTTTTTTTATATCTAGCTGTTACAGCTGCAGGCGTATGTGTATAAGCAATCATACACCCACATGTGATATGAGGGCGGATTGTTACCTGGTAACTCGGAGAGCGTGCTTGTAATATTAGAATATGGCTACTTGTGTATAGTTAGCTCGTTAGTAGTGTTGCAAAATGGTTATTGTTATTTACCAAGCTTATAAGTAAAACTAATAAAAAACGCTTTTAGCCAAGGTAGCGTAATTCAATCATGTGCATTTAGATTTGTATAAGGTTAAGGTAAAAGAGACTTATGCATTTCCAACAACGTCAGATTGACAAATTTGTTTTTGTGAAATTTTTGTTTTTACTATATCGACTTTCTCATGTGCTTTGGTGACTTGTCACTCAGTAGTTGGTTTGTTTATTACTTAACAGTATGTGAATAGTGCTTATAAAGTTTTGTTTATATGTTGTTTGCAGTGTGTTTGAGATTTTAATTTGTATTGTACATCTGGCCAATTCCTACTATAAGTACTACTGTAGTTATGACAATATGTTGTATTATATTAATGTATAATAGGTGGTATTTTTACCTCACTATTTTACATAGTATTCTATCTCGTTATAACAGGGTATTAAGTTTATTATTGCTTTATAAACATAGATATTATTTTCCATAGTAAGTGAGCAAATTGTGCATTCTGTTAATTTAATTTTTCTACTTTTAAGGGTTTTTGTTTAGAAAATTTTGAGCTAACATTAAATTTGTTGCGTTTAAAATGATCAAGTGTACAAAAACGTTGTTTATTCAACCATTTTATGGTGATTATGTGGCAGAACTGTCTAGAAGACAGTTTAATAATTTAAATTAAACCATATGAATTACAGTTATAACCAATGACAGCCAAACGTTTCACAGCCACAACCAATAAGAGCCACACTTTTCATAGTTACAACCAATAAGAGCCAAACTTTTCACACCCACAATCAATGACAGCCAAACATTTCATTGATTTACAGAACTGATAAAACACGTAAAAAGAGGAACAGACTTTAATATATATGTTTCCCTGGTGTTGTTTAGTTAGTATTTTTTAGTGAAATAACTTTAGTTAGTGAACAATCACGTCAAGTGAAACAAACTGTTAGAAGACTTTATATCAGAGGAATCAGTTTCCACTGTTTCATGGGTTTGCTTCAGCCATACGTTGTCAATTTGACACTAACGAGGACACACGAATCAAACCATTTTCTCTAACATCAAGATTTCTAACAATTTGTTCCATTTATTATTATTTTTTTATGAATCGGGTTCATTATCGCTCAACTTCACAGTAATTATTCTATAGAAATCAATACATTTTTCCTGTTTACGCCGTTGCTTTAGTAGGGAGATTTCTTGGTGTACTACAGAATAACAAATTGAGATTAAAGCGTTCATAAATATTTGATTTTATAGATTTAGAAACGACATCACCCAATGATAAATAACTTCTATGTATTCGAGGTACTATAAACCATGATAGCAAGCTAGATACATCACCCACTGATGATTAACTTCAGTGTATTAAAGGTACCACAAACCACAATAGCAAGCTTGATACGTCACTCACTGATGACTAGCTTCTATGTATTCGAGGTACCACAAAACAAACCACGATAGCAGGCTTGGTACATCATCCACTGATGAATAACCACTATGTATTAGAGGTACCACACATCACGATAGCAAGCTAGATACATCATCCACTGATGAATAACCTCTATGTATTAGAGGTACCACACATCACGATAGCAAGCTAGTTACATCACCCACTGATGAATAACCTCTATGTATTAGAGGTACCACACATCACGATAGCAAGCTTGTTACATCACCCACTGATGAATAACTTCTGTGTATTAGAGGTACCACACACTACGATAACAAGTTAGATACATTATACACTGATGAATAACTTCTATGTATTAGAGATACCACAAACCATGATACCAAACTATATAGATCATCCACTGATAAATAACTTCTGTGTATTAGAGGTACCACACACCACTATACCAAGCTAGATACATTTTTAAAATATTTTTTGGGGATAAAAGTAAAGAAGAATCACATTTTATCAAATACTTTATTAACAACTTTTCTGAAACTGTTTTAAGCAAATAATATTCAATATTATTATGACATAACATGTATTTACAACAATCACTTTTTTTTTCTATAGAAAATTGGGTTATTTCCAGTAACAAAGGCAAACGTGCTTTTGGAAAAGTGAGTGAGATATAGTTATTTTTAAGTTCCAGTATCATGTTTAGGATATTCCAGATTTTCATAACGGTTGGGAATCTCACACAGAAATAACTACAAAGTTTTCTTCTACAAGCAAGTGTGATCGTTTAGATATGAGAGCGAATGTAATGATGTTGAGAAGTCTAGATTAGGCCTTATGAACACTACAGTTAGTTTGGGTTTTCACATAAGTAAATTTTTTACACTATAGGATTATGTTTTAGGTATAAAAACGTGTGCTTTAACTTATTTGTGTTCCAGCGGAATGGTTTTTTCAACAATAACTTGGATGAGTAAGCACATTATTTTTTTTTATCTTTATATAGATGGTACCAAAAACAGGGTTCCACAAAGAGTACACTTTTAAATCACATAACCACATAAAAACGTGGAATAACTTACAATTTAACAATATCAAACCATACCAAATAGATCACACAATTTAGACAATAATTATTCCAAAAGTAATATTATAGTGTTATTAGTTTTATGATAGTTTTTCATTAATTCACGTTATTATAATTATTCTATTTACGAAGTGTTTGGTCCTACTCTTGGTGCAACGTTATTTTCACACAATAAGCTCATTAAAATATGATCCAATATACAATATAAAGATCGCTGTACTTTTCCATTCGATATGTTAAAATTCTCTAAATGGAAAGAAAAGGTATTCAATCAATCATCTAGATGTTATATATGACGACCATACATACGACCAAGCTTAAGACAAGGTACAGTAAATCTGTTAAACATGTTTAGATACAGCAAAGTCAAACACTTATCTTTAACATCACTTAGTCGTATGAACGTCTTAAGACTTAGTCAAACATTTATTTCAACAGATGACTTGGTCGTGTGGGTATTTTATTTAGCCGTAGTTTCGTTTCTTCCACCATTAAGTGGAAAATGTGACAATCCAATTAATTTTGTCTAAACTCGTAATTTTTCTACTGTATCACATTTAATAGAGGGGAAAGACGAATACAAAGGCGTGCAGGTGTTCCTGACGACTGTCTTCTTCTGTATTTAGTCCAGTCACGGGGTCGCTGATGTATGGTAACAACGGAGAGAATCTCTGTGTAAAATCATAGGTATTCTACTATATCACATTTAATAGAGGGGAAAGACGAAGACAAAGGTGTGCAGACGTCCCTGACGCCTGTTCTCTGCTGTGTTTGGTCAGTCACGAGATCGCTGAAATATGGTAACAACGGAGAGAACCTCTGAGAATTAACTCCTCTATCGTGTATTACGGAAGCACTGACTTCACCATCTGTAAAGCTAGAGGGCGCTGCGTTCGAACGTAGCGCTCCAAAGCTTTTCGCTCGCCGGCTAATACTTACTCTAATTTGCCGATAGGAGTCGCTCTCTGTAATGAAGAAGAAAGACATATGTTATACTGTATATGGTACTTGCTAATATAATTGTATTTTTTTTTCTAGGCTAAACCTGTGATAGACTAGATTAATGACGAACTATATCCGCAGATTACACACGATACGATCACAAACACATTTCAGAATTTCTTCTGATTCTTGCAATTTTAGAAGGAGAAAAAAACGTGGATCCATTACCATGGTAGTGCTGGTCTTCAACGGTTTTTCCACTTCTATTCCAATAATCAGCTTAACAAAATACGTAATCTTATCTGGTTAAATGTTAGAAGAAAGTAAAACAAAGAATGATAATAAATTATCAAATATATGTTAATATTTCAGTTATAAATCTCTTACCTTCCGAAATATTTCCATTTGCACACCTATCAGTGTCTTCTTCAAACGATGATGAATCGCTTTTCATCAACGCCCTCTTGTGGTAGTTTGTGATAGCTCTAGCGTATGACGTATCGTCAGATTCCAAAGGTACGTCCTTGATTTGGAGATGTTTATGATAGTTCGTTATGGCTTTAGCGTACGACGTATCGTCAGATTCAACAGCTACATCATTTATTTGGAAATATTTAGGGTAGTTTGTTATGGCTTTGGCGTACGGCGTATTGTCAGATTCTACGGGTCCATCGTTGATTTTGACTGACAGATGCCTATGTGATTCAGAAGATTCGCTGCTACTATCTGAATCCATATATCTAATCACTTGGTCCATGAAAGACAAGGGACACAGATGGCTGAGAGAGGAACCACAAACTTGAATGTCTTTACCCTCGGCAAATGGCGACTCTGTATCAGAATCTGAACCTTTTCTGCTGCTTTCAGAACTCTCCTCTTCAGCAGGAAGAGCAAATTCTACCTTAAAAGATACCGACGAAAGTTTTCTGTAAAAAAAAAAAAAAGAAGAAAATTATTAGTGTTATCTTTCTCGATCTTAACGTAAAATTTTCTATTGGTAAAATAAAAAAAAAGCACTAAATGTATAAACCAATTTCTGATTTTGTTGTGAACCAATTTTGGGAAAGTTCATCCTCTGGAAGTTAAAGTAATACTACATAAAAATAAATCAGTTTTCCTCATTTTACTGCGTATGAAAAATATAAACATGGAAACTTAATGACAAAATTATAATTTAACGATTTTAGGAAATCTTACCTTCGAGAATGCTGGTCACTGAAGGTTTCATCTAGGCCTTCTTCTGGCGATGGAGACCTAGAAATCACAGTAACCTCTCTGTGTTGGCGAAGACTTGGAACTATAACTGTTCGAGAGAAATGAAAACAATTATGGAAACCTAGAAATCACAGTAACCTCTCTATGTTGGCGAAGATTTGGAACTATAACTGTTCGAGAGAAATGACAACAATTATGGAAACCTAGAAATCACAGTGACCTCTCTATGTTGGCGAAGACTTGGAACTATAACTGTTCGAGAGAAATGACAACAATTATGCGGTTAAAATGCGTTTAATAACGAGTGACGTAATAATTAGGATTTAAGAAATTTCGAAGGAGGAGGATCTACTGGATTTGGTGAAACAATAAAGAAAACAAACAACTCGTCCCAAATTTTTATATCAATGAAATATCACGTAGTTTTACTAAGTTTTAACAACAACTGTATCGTAGAATCTTCTGGACTTAGGGTCAACTGCTGTTTGATGATGGTGAAGTTTTTAACACGATGGAACCAAACAGCAACAACAGAATAATGGTTGGAGACGGCTTGAATGGGTAATGAAGAAAAACTTTAATATAAGTTTAACATAACAGCAAATGTACAACGTTTCGACAAGGTTTTGTCATCATCATCATTTTTCTTCATTACCAATTCAAGCCGTCTCCAACCATTATTAGTCTCAAAGTGGGTTCCTCGTCATCGAATTTGAACAACAGCAGAAGTAAAACGAAGATGAGGCCCTCAGTGGTTAAAATCAGGTTTCGATACCCGTGGTAGGCAGAGCAAAGATAACATATTTCTTACTTTTGTGTTTAACAACAACCATACCAAAAAGAAGGAAAAAAAACACACACACAGATGATTCTACGATACCATTTGCTCCTGTTATGTTACAACAAATATTAACAGTTACTATAAAAATACAGTTAACTTACGTTACAGTTATATAATTAATAGTATCATAAGAGAAAAAAGACAATGCATAGAAGCCTGATTTCATATGCTTTTAACTGTAAAATGTATATCCCACATGAATATAGACATAGTTTTTGATTCCTGCAGTTATAGAATATGTAATTTATTCTGTAAGTGGAATTTACTTGTTGATTCTGTAAATAAATAAATAAATAATCGATTGGTGCCCCATTATGCACTTATTAGATCTATAACCACCGTATTAATAACGATAATGTAATAAGTGCGTAATAGGGCGTCAATCGATTATTTATTTATTTACAGAATCGACAAGTAAATTCCACTTATTAAATTATCGTTTTAAACACAGTGGTTATGGTTGATGCTCCATTACACACTTATTACATTGAAATTATAAAGTAATTAGATATGATCGACGTTCCATAACACAATTATTACATTATCGTTGTTAATAAACTAGATGTGATGGACGCCCCATTACACAATTATTACATTATCGTTATTAATAAACTAGATGTGATTGACGCCCCATTACACAGTTATTACATTATCGTTATAAATACACTAGATATGATTGACGCCCTATTACACAATTATTACATTATCCTTATAAATACATTAGATATGACTGACGCCACATTACACAATTATTACATTATCGTTATAAATACACTAGATATTGACGCCACATTACACAATTATTACATTATCGTTATTAATAAACTAGATGTGATTGACGCCCCATTACACAGTTATTACATTATCCTTATAAATATACTAGATATGATTGACGCCTTACTACACAATTATTACATTATCCTTATAAATACATTAGATATGACTGACGCCACATTACACAATTATTACATTATCCTTATTAATAAACTAGATGTGATTGACGCCCCATTACACAATTATTACATTATCGTTATTAATAAACTAGATGTGATTGACGCTCCATTACACAATTATTACATTATAGTTATAAATACACTAGATATGTTTGACGCCCTATTACACACCTTGGATATCTTCACAGTTTCCATCAGAGGAGTTTTCTGGTATTGGTGACGTCACTCCATGAGTGATAACAATCACTGGTTCTTCCATCTCCTTTAGACGTGCGATTAAAGTTTGTAGTTGAAAGGTTTTCTGTAACGTAAGTAATTTTGCTAATTAACCGTTTATCATCTCATGTTATTAAAATATTATGTCTCGTGTTTCCACTGAAGAAATAACGAGCGTTTTTGAATTGTTTATCCATGACCAGCAGCATCTAATGGACGATAATCTACTTTCTGGGTCAGTTGTAGCATGTACCACGTGCTCTAGTGGAAGATATCTGTGTAAAACTTAATATACTGCTTGGGTCAGTTGGGGCATATACCACGTGTTCTAGTGGACGATATCTGTGTAAAACTTAATCTACTGCTTGGGTCAGTTGGGGCATGTACCACGTGTTCTAGTGGACGGTATCTGTGTAAAACTTAATCTTCTGCTTAGGTCAGTTGGGGCATGTACCACGTGCTCTAGTGGACGATATCTGTGTACAACTTAATCTTCTGCTTAGGTCAGTTGGGGCATGTACCACGTGCTCTAGTGGACGGTATGGGTGTACAACTTAATCTTCTGCCTGGGTCAGTTGGAACATGTATCACGTGCTCTGACGTCAGAGTGGAAACTAGACCATTATGAAATAAGAAAAGCAAGTTTATCTTTTCAATTTCACAATAATATCAGAAAGGGGTCTTGAAAGCTGTATCACGTAATGTTTCCCATAATGATTACAAACTCTGGATATAAATACAAACGCGTGAAGTAATGTTACAGGTAAAAACAGCTCAGCGGAAGTAAAATAATGAAAAGTTGGATTTAAGATTTTATTATATTTCTTTAAAAAATGTGTAGATAATAAATATGGTATAAATTATGATCTTTTTAATATAGGATGGTGACGTTGGCATCACATCTTTTATCCTTAGTAATGTAGAATCGAAAGGAATAGACCTCAGAAAACATTTTATCGGTAATTGATTTTTAATGTTAAAATATCATTTGACAATCGTTTCTTAGTGTATAATGATAAAAAAGGTGAGTACAACTGACGTCTTTAAGTACTAACCTCTTCCAATTTCTGTCTGTTTCGATAATTTTCGTCTTGAAGAAGTCTGATTTGACTTTGTAATTCAAAATCCTCTGAGCTTCTTCGAGACTTCTTGAAGGGCTTTAAAGTAGCTCTTACGCGCCTGTCTCCCGCGTTCGGGTTCCGTTTGAGTTCAACAAGCTAAAAGATCAAAAAGAAGAAAGAATCTGAACCTTTTATTTTGTGAATAGCATGAAGATTTAATTTCATAAAGTCGATATGAATTGTAGTAAACATGAAATAAATAAATAAAAAAACAATAACAACAAAAAACAAACAAACAAACAAGTGAAAATGTAAGAAATAACGTCCGAAAGAGCACCAAAATGATAGAACTACAATATTTCTGGCATAACAAACGTGGGTGTCTGTAGGGAGAAATTAGAATCAGATATTGCGAAGAGCTAGTCAAGAAAATGATATATATTCTTTTAACAAGTAAGAGCTAGTCAACAGTATGATGTATATATTTTAACAAGTGAGAGCTAGTCAGCAGTAAGATATATATTTTTAACAAGTGAGAGCTAGTCAACAGTAAGATATGTATTCTTTTAATAAATAAGAGCTAGTCAACAGTAAGATATGTATTCTTTTAATAAATAAGAGCTAGTCAACAGTAAGATATATATTCTCTTAATAAATAAGAGCTAGTCAACGGTAAGATACATACTCTTTTAACAAATGTTGTTTACTGATGTATCACTAGAGAAGCGATTGAGTATTATCATACAGGTTTGCTCGTTAACTCTAGCCCATACAGTATTTTCTCGTTAACTCTAGCCCATACAGTATTTCCTAGTTAACTCTAGCCCGTACTGTACTTCCTCGTTAACTCTAGCTGAAACAGTACTTCCTCGTTAACTGTAACTCCAACAGTACTTCCTCCTTAAGTCTAGCCCGCACTGTATTCCTTGTTAACTCTAACTCAAACAGTACTTCCTCGTTAAATCTAACAGCACTTCCTCGTTAACTCAATCAATACTTCCTCGTTAACTCAAAGTGCACTTACTCGTTAACTCTAGCCCACACTGTACTTCCTCGTTAACTCTAGCTCAAACATACTTTCTTGTTAACATAAGTTCAAACTGTACGTATTCGTTTAACTGTTTATTAAATTCTGAAGAGTATTTAGTAGTAAATTTAATATAAAACAACTGCTTATTAAGATAATGTACGGGAAACATTACAGAATGAAATTACTTTAAAACGTATCTATTCATAGCAAATAAAAAAACTCATGGCAGAGATTGAAAATTGGGTAAAAGTAGTAAAATTGTGTAAATTCAATAGTATATAGTTTTAAAAGTATTTTAGCCAACGTAACCATTATGGAAAGAAATACAAGACTTGCCCTCACCAGTCTCACCTTGGGCACGAATACCAAACACAAAGTAGTGGTGGAGCAGAAGATGATGAAGATGGAGATGATGATAAAGGCAGCGTCCTGTTGTTCTCTGAGAACGAAGGATATGGCAGCTCCAATGACACACATAATGACCGCATTGTACACACTCATTCCGATGTACTTGGAATCATTTAGAGCGGGAATACTTACGTGCCGAGTTTCCCATGCCAAAAAACAGCCAAAAGCCTGTAAAGGAACGAAAACGCGATTTGGAAAGGTGTAAGATAAAAATAGTAAAGTCAAGGAATTGTACATACGTATTTAATTTTTACATAAACATGGAATTACTAAAATTTAAATATTCTGTAGGCGCGTTTATTACACAGATTTCATCATCTCTTAAAGATGTGTTCATCAAATAGATGGCTGTTAATTACAAGTAAACAACAGTACCTGTGAGTGAAATATGATCTAGGTACTCAAGACTTATAGAAATATTAATAATGGTTGGAGACGGCTTGAATGGGTAATGAAGAAAAACTTTAATATAAGTTTAACATAACCGCAAATGTAGAACGTTTCGACAAGGTTTTGTCATTATCAGGTACGTCATCGAATTTGAATTACAGAAATATTATTTGCCAGTTCCTTTCATGCAGATAGAAATCAATATACGTTTAAGTGCCAATTAAACAGTATAACTGTAGTCGATATTTTTAAACACACTACGTTTTAAACTAGACGTATTTCCGCAGGGTCCCAGAAACTATTCTGTTTCAAGAGTAAATAAAATCAAAATTAAGAATGACAAATAATTTTATTTCTTGCTTTTGAAGTTCACATGTCATTCTGCGTTGTAGCCTACAGAGTGTATAATTCTTCTCGTAATTCATGGCATGCGCACGTTTTACTGACGTCACGACAATACAAATTGCAACGTGAAGCTTCTTTTATGTGACGTCAGTTTAGTGTCTATTGACAGACAACACACTACTCTGTGGTGGTTCGAGTGATTAAAACAGGTGACCTCTGTCGGAGAAGTAAGTAAATATTATACACAATTAAACAGTACAACTGTAGGAGTTATTCCAAGTTGAATTTAAACAACAATGAAAATCTTAAATAAGAATGTAAAGTGGAATATAAAGTTTCCTGTTTACCATAAGTAACCCTTTGTAAGCGTAGATGGAACCGAGAAACACTGTCATGTTTTGACTGTTACAAAACTCCAACTCTGGTATAACGACTGAATCCTCATTTCCAGATGATGGCTGAAAAATACCAGTAAGGATTGTAAGTAAAACAATTGAAACGTTTTGTATTTTGGTGAATAATCGAGTAAACAGATAGTAACTTGAAGCTGGTAGATTTCCTTGGTAAGAAGGTGAAATTTATTTTTCTAAACATTAAAACCACAAGAGGAAGAAAAGCTTTGGATATCTGATAATTCTCAGTTCAGATTTAAATTTCCTGACAATCATCCATTTACAGCTTCATTTTACCTCGGAAATGGATGAACGGAACCAGTAATGGCTATGTTAATAAAAAAAACACATCTTGCAGTTTTTAAACATTTTACTAGACAAAGTGGTTTTAATCAACCCATTTATTGAGGTGAAACCCACATCTTACAATCCTTAAACATTTTACTAGACAAAGTTTTTTAAACCACCCACTTATTGGGGTTGAACACACATCTTACACACTTTAAACATTTTACTAAAAAAAGTTGTTTCAATTCTTCCGTTTATTGAGGTTGAAACACATGTTTTACAACCCTCACACGCTTGCTTAGAAAACATTCCAATCCAATGCATCTAATTTTAGGGGCAGAAGCACACATCTTTCAGCTATTCTATACCACCTCAATATATGAGTGGATTGAAACAACTTTGTCTAGTAAAATGTTTGAAGATTGTAAGATGTGGGTTTCACCTCAATAAATGGGTGGATTAAAACCCTTTTCCTAGTAAAATGTTTAAAGATTGTAAGATGTGGGTTACACTGCAATAAGTGGGTGAATTGAAACAACTTTGTCTAGTAAAATGTTTAAAGGCGGTAAGATGCGTGTTCCACCCCAATAGGTGGGTGGATTGAAACAACTTTGTCTAGTAAAATGTTTAAAGGCTGTAAGATGCGTGTTCCACCCCAATAGGTGGGTGGATTGAAACAACTTTGTGTAGTTAAATGTTTAAATACTGTAAGATGTTTGTTCAACCCCAATAAGTGGGTGGATTGAAACAACTTTGGCTAATTAAATGTTTAAAGACTGTAAGATATGTGTTCCACCTCAAGATATGTGTGGATTGAAACAACTTTTTCTAGTAAAATTTTTAAAGGCTGTAAGATGTGGTTTCTACCTCAAAAAGTGAGTGAATTGAGACAACATTGTCTAATAAAATAACATCAGAATCTAAAATCATCATTCTCTTTTTATTCATAGCATCAATTAACCAAAATTAAAACAGTAAAAGACAATGACATTTTTAATTAATGATAAGCTCTTCCTTGAAGAGACTTCCTCAAGAGACTTATAATTCTGCAGAGGTTTTATAAAAACGATGTAGCAGCTGCTTAGAACGTGCTAAATAATAGCATTTAAGGTGTTGTAATATTATATTCTGTTCGTGACCCTATTTTCGAGACTACTGCGGATGCTAATAAACTATTTCATGCTGTAACAATATTTTAAAAGATTTACAATTTTTCTTTAGTTTATTCAGATTTGACATTTTATTCCCTTCATAGCCTTTTCTTGCAGTTTAACTAATAAAGAAAATTATGAACTGATAAACATCCGTCATCTGACCAATGGTCTCCGAGTCTGAAAAGCAGGAGCAAGCTGACCATAGAATAATGATTTTCAACTCCTTGCTAATTTTTTTATGGGCTGTTTTCAAATGGTCAGAAGTAAGGTCTATTTTTGGTACAACTGAGTAGTCTAAATTACAAATTAACAATTATCAGTAGAACATAAATACTACCAACACAATCGCCTTCCTCAACCTAATATGATCCGGATGGAATTCAATGAGATATGGGCCAGTCACTAAGAGCAGTCTTATTACAATCAATGAAGAAAGATCAAAAACAAACTAGCTTTGCCTACCAACTGCATTCCGAGGCTGGTCTCTCGATAAAAGGGGTCAATGACCTGCCAGGTAGTTAATATGGCTATATCTATGAGGACCAGGACTCCGACGACCATAAAAAGCTTGTAGTCTTGGATGACCTAAGATGAGACATGTCGTTAAGTTGCTATACACTCTCAATATGGGAAAGGTTAATCCAAAGTAGGAAAAATACAAACATTATTTTACTTCAACGTTTATTCTAAGCTGGGGCTTTATTACTAATGAGGGTTATTTATTATCAAGCATGGGTCATCACAAGATTAGCGTAATATGCTGAAATGTAAGCTTAAACATTAAACTTGTGTAACGATTTATTAGAACAGGATATTGATGTGTACCACGTTAATCTGAGTTCTCGTTAGTGCTGGGTAAAGACATATCTCACCAAACATAATCTCCTCAAGCCATGTAAGAGCCGATTAATATGGACTTCTGAAGCTTCTAATTACAGCGAAAATGTATTTATATATTCCTATATATACGTGTATGTATCAGTGAAGGCAGTCTGTCGTTTTTTTCTATTAACCTAATAATTGATGTATAGTTTAGAAACATTAACATCAGTGTTTCAATGAAGACGGGGAAAATACTATTACAATACTATTTTGGGTACAGATTAACTACAGTAGTTAGATGAAATCGGATTATAAGCTAGTTATTATTGTTAAGTCAAGTCTAACTCCACATTATAAGCCAATAATGTAGATTAATATTGATATAAGTATCGATCAAATTATATAATATATTTACTAGAAATATAAAATAAAGATCTAGTTATTGCTTTCGAATTTCTCAATTAAAAATGTTGTCCATTACTTGTAGACACAGAAGTTAGATATTACATGTAGCTAGCATATACTTCAAACCATGGCCATCAACCATTTCGAATTAATAGCGTTTTCCCTGTGATTTTTTTAACCCTTTAGATGAGCTGATTTTTTCAAGCATAATAAATTCGTATTTCTTTCAACTGATTACAGGCACTGTGAACATCAGAGGTAAATTAAGGTTAGGTGAAGGTAAAGTTAGGGTTAGTTTAATTTGGGATTAGCTTAAATTATGATAGATTTAGGGTATACTTACATAAGGATAAAGTTACAGTTAATTTAGTTTAGGTTAAATTTAGGCGAAGGTAAAGTTAAGTCTTGTTTGTTTGTTGTTAAGCGCAAAGTTACATAAAGGGCTATATGTTCTATGTCAACCACGAGTATAGAAACCAGGGTTTTAGCTTTATAAACCTGAAGACTTACCGCCGAGTCACTGGGGGGTAAAGATAAGGATACTCTAGTCTAGGTTAAGTTATGTTAGGTGAGGTAAACTAAGGGTTAGTTTAGGCTGTTATCGGTAAATGTAAAGTTGAAGTTAGTTTACGTTAGAAACAATAAATGTAGAATTAGTGTTAATTCAAGCTAGGGGTAAATAAAAGTAAAGTTAGGACTAGATGAAAGTAGTTTTAGTCTAAATTAGTTTACATTAGGTGTTGTTATGACGTAAACATAAAATAATATCGACACATTTGTCTATAATGCAGATATTGACCCAAAATTAATCCGAATAGTTAACTAGTTTCCCTCTTTAACACAATAAGCTCGAATCACTTTTCCTCTGACTAGATACAGGTTTAAAGCTTGATAAAGCAAGCACGAGTCCATCACTATCCTCACCTTTTTATTTAACTTGATATTTGTAAAAATAGCATGGACTCTCCACGTCTTACTAAACATAGATCCAAAGGCCAGAGAAAAACCATTCATCAGGACCCATGCCCTTGCCTATAAAAGAAAGGTATGAACTACTAAAAAAGCCAATATCATATAAAACCATTAAAATATAAGGCAGTATATGAAACCATAAAATTATTTAATAGCATATAAAAAATCATCAAAACATATAACAGTATATTAAGCCATAAACGTGTTTAACATCATAAAAACCATTAAATAATTATTGGCATCCATACAAAAGTAGAAAAAGATACTGCGACGTCTAAGGACTTTATTTTAATAGTAGCTGAGACGATACATTAGTAGTTTCTTATGGTGTTTCTCACCAATTCTGTTGGAGGTAAATATACGGGAGTAGGACTAACGGTGGAGCATATTTCGGTGTGACTGGGATTCGAACCCGCGACCCTCAGATTGCGAGTCGAGTGGCCTAGCCACCTGGCCATGACGATACAATAAGCTTCTCGAATGGTGTTATTTCAGGGTGTCTATAAAGCTATGAAAATAATAAAATAAAATAATAGTAATAATATTGGGTCCACATCTTGTTTCAATTATAAAATATAATATACAACTTTAATTAAAAACCTATTTCTAAACTATAGAAACCTTTCTAATGCTATAAACTTACAACAAATTCTTTCTTTTTTCTACTCAAATTATACAGGCCTGCGATAGTTTTATTGTCTTGAAATTTTCACATGTTCCACAGTAATTTCTGTACGCTGAACCCGAAAATGATATCCATTGTTTTCCATCACGTACAGATTTTTCACAAAACATCAGATCGCAATACGTAAAAGAATGACCACAACATGTAGTTTGGAGACTAAAAGACGTAGATTTCACACACAAAAAAATCAGGACGAATGAGGATGCAGATTCGTTTGACATCAATATTCTTCCCTTTTCTTCAATTTGTTTGTATTTTTGTTAACAAACATAATAATAAAAAAAATTTTCTTTGTGGTAAACGATATTATAATTTGATCTAAGAAAGCGTTGTTTTTTCTTCTTCTCGACTTGTAAAAAATCCGTACGTAATAGAAAAAAAAACGAATATTATTTTCGAAATCTGCGTAGCTGAATTATGGAAAATCCTTTTTTAAAACCAAAACAACGTTCATGAAGTTTAAATTTGAAGGCCTATGTTATTATTTTCTTGTTCTTTTTTGTCGCGTTTTTTACGTTTCAAACGCTTGTAGTTTAGTTTCTACCTTGGATACATACTATCAACTCATACGCAGTCCTACCTTACTGCACGCATTCCATCCATTCTTTACGTACATACCATCGTCCCTCAACACATCTATACAAGTTCATCACACACTTTATTCCTTGGAAAATTGTTAAGGGTAACAGTAAACTCCTTTAGTGTATTGACCACCATTAGTTTGGCCTTCCGTTTGTTTATATAGTTAAAACAAGCTATATAACAGTTCTGTATATATTATGATATTACGTCATTAGTTCAGTTACATTACGTTTTGATGACTACTGTCTTTTATATACTACCAAGTATTGTAAATTTCTTGCTAAGCCTTATTATTATTAAAATTTCTAGAGGCTTATCGCGTTTACTTTTCGGCTTTTACAAAAGATTTAACTTTATTACTTCCTGTACCAAACTCTATGTGTTTTGTTAAAGTTAGTTAAAGTGGTAGTGTTAGAAACACCTCATGGTATTGTTACGTCTCTGCTTGTTTGATAATTTCCCGTAAAAATTCTTCCCGAGG